CCCCCCCCCCCCCCGATCTTCCAAAGACCTCTTTTCTAGCTCCCTCATTAACTCATCCCATGCTCGCCTCCAGGACGTCTCTGGAGTCTCTCCCATTCTCTGGAACTCCTTACCCCATCCTGTCCATCTATGTACTACTCTGATTGCCTTTAGGCAATACCTAAAGAGTCATCTCTTCAGGGAAGTCTATCCCACCTCCAACTAACCACTGAACAATCCCGCTCTCAAACAATTCATCCCTGCACAGTTATCTCCTCATGTATCACCTCCACTGCCTTTTAGATTGTAAGCCCCCACGGGCATGGCCCTCCTTACCATCTTGTCTTGAATTGTATTGTAATTGTAATGTCTTCCTTATATTGTAAAGCGCTGCACAATCTGTTGGTGCTATATACATCCTGAATAATAATAATAATAATAACAATAATTATTATTATTACTATTATTATTGGGTACCAGTGGCACAGCAACACTGCTTATTGGTAAAATATGTTGTACTGCTTGAAAAAACTGGACCACCCATATCCAATCCTGAGGCCTGTTTCACACCTGGGCGTTTTACAGCGTGTTCCTATGCTCTGTAAAACGCTCAACATGTGAAAACCAATGATTGCCTATGGGCATGGTTCCCACCTGGGCGTTTTACAGCACGTAGGAACGCGCTGCAAAACGCCCTACGCCCAAAGAAGTACAGGAGCTTCTTTGGGGCGTATTTGCCATGCGTATCCATTTGGATACAGCCAGGTAGCCCTCGGAAACACGCATATTCGATACGCCTAGGTGTGAACCCGGCCTAACTCCAGCCAAAAATGTATATTTTCATTTTTGGATAGAGTGGGGGAAACTTTAAATTAATGTGATGTTATTACTTTTGTCTGTGAGCCCAGTGTAGAAATAATCCCTCGCTTCCCATCCCTATGAAGCTGTATAAAAAAAAGGGCCAGAGAGGTTGAAAAACATTGTTAGAAATTTTAAACCTTTCCCAACTTTCTAAAAATGTGTTTCTTTTTTTGGTCTCTGTCCCTTTGGATATATTTAACGTCCTGACAGAAGCTAAAAGTCTTGCCAATATTAGAAGAACTTTGGAGGCTCTAATATATATAACATAAATCAGGGTGCTTCAAATACATTTAAAGAATCTAGGGACACCAATCCACAATCTCGCATTTCCTCCTATAGCAAGAATGTTTCCTTGCTAAATGTAATCACTGGGACAAAACAACATTAATGCAGACTGACTTGTCAAAAAAACTGGGACGGCGTATATACAGAACAGTGAGGAACAGATCGGTGAGGGAGCCTGGGGCATACAATTTGCATTCAGCCAACATCCAATCTCCTTGGAGCACTATGACCATCCAACAAACAATGAACATTATTAGGCCATGCTGCAACTTTGAAATTTATGCCAGCTAATATAAACTGTAAAGTTTATATAGGCAAATATATAAATAAGCAACAAAAGAAGTGGCAGATATAGTGACATTTATCATTGCTTTATTAGGAATTATCTTCATTAGTAATGATAGTTCACAAAGCAAACAAACAATCTCTTGCCAAAAGGCTGAATTTCTTTCTTTTATAAAGTGCAAAAGTAAAAAAAAAAAAACCAGATCTAAAAACATAATTCATCTTTCTGTTCCCCATCCACGGGGCTCAATATCTTGAGTAGGTCATCGGGTATGGAGCGTGGAGAGCAGACTCGGCCGAGGCTTTCCCTTAGCGTTTCCTTCGCTGGGCGTGTGATCGCGCTGCGTCCTACGTCAGCGGCACTCGACCCCCCAGGGCTTCACATTCTGCCCCGTTCTGACAGAGTACATAGAACGTCTCTGATCCTCTGAACAGAAAGAAGCAACAGCCGCCGCCTGCAGTACAGATGAGCCGGACCTCCTCGACGAGATTTGGGACATACTTTACAGGTACAGGGACCCGGTCGAGGCTGTCACTGGGAGAGGGGGGTAGGATGGCGACGCCTGCCTCTCCTGTGGTGAATGACCCGAGACCAGGACACCTCTATATGTTATATGTTAAGCCTGTGAAGCCTGTGTTGTCTGCCCACTCCCTTGCTGGGGGCTCTCCTAAGGGAGGATTAGAGTTACAGAGAAGTATGGGGCAGTACCTACAGTAATAAAGTAATAAAGACCACTCAATTATTAGAGGAACAACAACAAGACATAAGGGATTGCCTAAGATCACTTTCAAACAAAGAGGAGATGGAAGGATATATAGCAAGATTGGAAGCAACATACAAAGAAAAGCTGCAGGCTGTGAAAGCGGATATCGCTACCATTGGGGACCGGGTAAATGAAATGGAGGAGAATTTGGAGACTTGTTCTTCCACAATAGATATGCATCAGGAAGTTATTAACAAACACTCAATGCAGATCCAGGACATGATTTATAAGATGGACGATATTGAAAACAGGAGTAGACGTAATAACTTACGGCTACGGGGCATTCCTGAAACTATAGAGATAGAGATACAAAATCTTATACCATCAGTAAAAGCTATACTAAATGGTATGATGGATAAAACCCCAGAATCTACATTAACACTAGATGGGGCGTATAGAGTTTCTGGACTTCTTAAAGGAGAATCCACAAGACCGCGAGATGTAATATGTCGATTGCATTATTACACAGACAAAGAAGCTATTTTAATGGCAGCTAGAACCAAGAAATCTATAACATATGATGGATTTGATGTGACTATCTTCCCAGACCTCTCGAGACAAACATTAATGCTCAGGAGGGCCTCGAGGCCAATATTGGAAATCTTACAGGAGAGAGGGATAAGATACAGATGAGGGTTCCCCTTTCAGTTGATAGCCCATAGAGACGGAAGAACAGCTAAATTCAGGACATCAGAGGATCTGCCAGGTTTCTTGGACATTTTAGGGATACCCCCAATACAACTGCCAGAGTGGCCAACTGAACTAAGCAAGATAGATGGCCCCCAAGGGAAAGAGTGGTCAGTAGTAAAGACCCGTGGATCAAACAGGAACCGAAACAAAGCACAAGACCTGGATGATTGATTATTGATTAACAGGAGAACAATGTACATATATGTGGGTCTGTGGGTCCTGGTTTCCTACAACCCCACCCCCCGTGTTTCCCTAGCTCGCTCTCATATTGCGGTTGGGAGCGGGGGAGAGGAGGAGGGGGAAGCGCATAGGAAGCGGGAAGACATTAATGTTGATAACGATGCATAATTATGATACAACAAATAAGGCTTGAGTAAGTAAATGTTAAAAAGCTGGGCGTGTGGAGGGACGAAGACCTACAGAAACATATTCGGCCTCTACAACTCCAGTATAGTCCTGGTTAGTAGGATTATCTTGTACGGTTCATGTAAGACGATACGTAAATGTCTTGCATACAAGAATATAGTAAATGTTTGTATGTAGTGAAATGAAG